CTCTCCTTCTCCCTCCCTCCCTCCCCCACAGTTTTGGAAGTGTGTGGGTCAAGCCATGTCCCCACTACCTCCTCGACCAAGGCTATGTGACCGCATGCGTCCTGGACGTGGAACCTACAGAAGAAGGGGACAAGGATGTCGTGCTTGACTTCAGCCTCCATAACTGGACCCACACTCTCCTGAACGAAAGCTTGTGGATCAGCAATTTCTGTGAGTCCTGTCAGGTCCACTGTCCACTCCCCATTGAGAGGACTCCCTCTGTGACCCTGAGAGGAAAGAGGTGGCATTCCCTAGAAGGTCCATGTCAACAAGTGGGGTGTGTGGGGGTGTCTCTAGTTGGTGTGAGTAATCGTAGGTGTCCACTGCTGGACACTGGAGGGACTGTCCTCGAAAGGCCATAGGGACACACAGTGGACACTTGTGGTTTTGGGTGAGTTCATAGTCAGCACCCACTGTTAATCACTTCCACATCCTTGAGGGTCTTTTTGTTTTCCACTGACCATCACCCTTTTCCACCGTGATGCCTTCTTCCAAAGATTGCCTTTCCTGAAAAGACACCCAACATACGTAAGACAAAGTCTCCCCAACCCTGCCTCCAAGAGCACCCTGGTCACACAGCCTCTGGGGTACATTTATTGGTTCTTTTGCCAGCCCGTGGGCTCTTCAGTTTGCTTCTCCAACACTACAGCTCCAAGGCACCCATTCTTCCTATCCTGATTCCATCCCCAACATTCCCCACATGCTTCCAAAGCAATGGGGAAAAAAATCCACGACATGGGTCAGGCAGATTTTAGTCTTAAAATGATCCTTTGCTTTTTCAAGAAAATCCTGGACAGAAGCTGTTGTTGTTGACTGCCGTCGAGTTGAGTGAGCATGACTCATAGCGACTATGAAAAAAAGACCTAATGCCTTTCTCTGACTATCTTCAAGTCTCCAAGTTCATAGAGTTTCCAGAGGCATGTGGTTTAGGAAATGGATGCCACTCCTGCTTCCAACTCTGTTTTATATCTGGAGGCTCCACCAAACACTGTCCACATTGGGAAACCATTCTAATATTAGATACCCCAATACACAAGGTTCAGCATCACAGCAAACCCAGATTACCACATACAACACGTTGAGAAAGAGTGATGTACAAAGTGGAAGAGTGTTCTTCCAGATATAACAGCACTACTTTCTTTCAGTGGTGGTTAAGTGTTGTCAAGTCAAATATGACTGAGAGTAAGCTTTGTACAAAAGACCTAAATTCTGTTCTATAACTAACATCATTTCTGTACGTTTAGAGAATTTAGAGATTTTTGTGGAGTTTAGAGAGTTTGTAAAGTTTAGAGAGTTTGTAGAGTTTTCGGAGGTATCTTTTTAGAAAGTGAATGCCACTCTTGCTTCCCAGCATAACTCAATCTGGAAGCTCATCCAAACATTGTGCACAATGGATAACCATTACGGTATTTGATACAACTATGGAACAGTGTTCAACATCACAGCAACACCTAGTTGTCCAGTTCATCAAATAGACAAATGATTGCTGAATCTTTAAAAAAAAATATTGATTGTAAAGTGAATAAATTTGATCTGAGTGACCACCATCAAGATGCTAGGTAGAGCCAAGTCCAGGAGTGGAGGGAGACATTAAAATATGTTTTATGGTGGCTTTGCGGTAAGGAATTGTGGTGCCGAGGTCACAGGTGTTATGAGGGCCTGTTGAGTTGAGTACAGCTCATAGCAACCCTATAAATAATTATTCTAAACCCTCTCCTCCTATCTGTGCCATCTTCACACTTCTTGATACTCTAAAGCCCATGGTGGTAGTCACCATATCAATCCACCTGATTTAGGGTTTTCCTCTTCTTTCCTGACCCTCCGCCCTTCCCACCCTTCTGTCAACAGAGTTTCTCTCTTTTTTTTTTAGAAAGCATTAAAAAATTTAATTTATTAATTTAATGAACATTTACAGAGATTTTTAATTTCCATTCAGTCATTGTTGTACTTTTCTCCCTGCCCACCCCTCCTCCCTAGTTCGCTCCTCTCTTTGAAAATTAAAAGAAAAATTCCTTCATTGGTATACAATCTCTCCAACCTGCCCTGAGTACACTCCACTATGCAACTTTTATTCTAGACTCTTGTGATAACCACAATTCCGTATTATATATATCTTTTACATTGTTCTCTCCCTCATCTGTTTCAGTGCGGTATACATAATTGATCCAGTTTTTCTCAGTCTTACCCCAACCCTGATGTCAGTCCCATTCTACAACAGTGGCACCATGCAGTATTTGTCCCTTTGTGACTGAGATACTTCACTCAGCATAATGTCCTGCAGGGTCACCCATTTTAAATCATATTGCATTACTTTCTTGTTTTTCATTGCAGCGTAATATTCCATTGTGTGAATATACCACAGCTTCTTTATCCATTCGTTTGTTTATGGGCACCTAGGTTGTTTGCAACTCCTTGCTATTGTGAGCAAAGCTGCGATAAACATGGGTGTGCATCTATCTGCTTGGATGTCAGTTATGGTCTCTTTGGGGTATATTCCCAGTATTGGAATTGCTGGGTCAAATGGTATCTCTGTTTGCAGCTTTTTGAGAAAGCGCCATCCATACCACCTTCCACAGTGGTTGCACCATTTTACACTCCCACCAACAGTGAATAAGGGTTCCAGTTTCTCTGCAAGCTCGCCAGCCTTTGTTGCTTGCTGTTCTGTTCAATTTTGCTATTCTGACTGGGGTGAGATGATATCTCATAGTTGTTTTCAGAGTTTCCCTTAAAAGAGTAAAACCCAAGCCACCTCCCCATGGGATCGATTCTGAGGACGTACTGTGGGACGCTTCTAAATAGCAAAATCTTACAACTGTTGGGTGATCGGTCACCGTCTTTGAAGGGGGCACAGCTCTGCCAGTGTCTTTCTCAAGTGAAAATACTTCAGACCACAGATTTGGTGGTTCTGCAGTGGACGTGCGACCCTTGTCACCAACCAGGTTCAAAACCTACAAGAAAGAAAGCAAGGAAATGCAGGTGTTTATTTTGTCAAGGAAGTGATACTTCTGTGGTTCTTTTTCTTGTAGTGAAGCCCAACTCCACCAAGGACTTGACCTTCCTGTGGACACAAGAAGCCGTCACGGTGACATGTTCTGATCTCGACTATCAGGGCCTCTACTATGAGATTCAGTACAAGAGCACCTTTGATTCTGAGTGGCAGGTGAGTAGATCTCAAGAACAAGGGGGTTGGCTTAAGATCTGTTATGTGTAGACTTGTCTTTCTGACTCAAATACGAATTGTAAGTCCCAGCTCGAGGATGGTGAGCATTGATCTCACATACATGTGGGGCGTGTGGTCAGGTGAGGATGGAAAAAGCAAGGAAGACCTTCCCTGAGATGGATGGACACGGTGCCCGCAGCCATGGGCGTGAGTGTGTTGGAGAGACTGAGGGTGGACCAGGCCAGGCCGAGTCTCCCATTTCTTGCTCATGGCCAAAATCTAAGTCATAATTGAGTTGACAACATCTAACAGCCACAACATCTGTTAAATTTTATTCCTCTCTCCTTCTATTTCCATTCCTAGCGGCCACCCAAGAATGACTTTCTCTTAAAAGTTTTGTTATGGTTGTTGTGTACCATCAAGTTAGAATTGACTGCTAGGGGACCCTTTGGTGGGTTTTCAGTGGGTTTAGTCCTCCAGGAAAGGATCACCCATTTTTCTCCTGTGGTGTAGTGAGTGGATTCTGATTGTACACACCTCCCTATCACGAAGCCACCAGAGCTCCCCAGTCTTATACAATATTGGTCATGACGGATTGCTCTTGGGAGGAGAAGAAGGTCAAGGGCACACATGGATAGATGGATGAATGATGGCTGGATGGGTGGGTGGATGGATGGATGGATGGGTAGATGAATGGATGGACAATAGATAAATGGGTAGATGGATATATAGCTAGAGGGGTGGAAAGATGGATGGATGCATAGATGGATGACAGAAGGACAGATGGATGAATGTCCAGATGGACAGATAGGCAAATGGATGGATGGATGGATGGGCAAATGGATGGATGAATGGATGGATGGGTGGATGGATGGACGGGAGGGTGGATAGATGGATTGATGGATGGATGGTGGATGGATGGATAGATGGATGGATTGATGGATAGATGGATGGATGGATGGATGGATGGATGGATAGATGGATGGATGGATGGATGATGGATGGTTGAATGGATGGATGATGGGTAGATGGATGGATGGATGGATGGATGGGAAAATAGATGGATAGGTGGGTGGATGGATGATGGATGGATGGATGGATAGATGGATGGAAGATGAAGATGGGGCAGAAGGATGGAGGATTGGGCACTCGAAAGCCAGGTGGTAGACGTGGGTGGGCATCTCCAGGGCTCAGCTAAGAATACTCACTCGAGCCACCGTCCTATGTCTGTCGGCCTTTCCTGTGCAGTCCGCCAAGGAGGAGACGTGCCGTGTGACCATCAGGAACCTGGACATGGACAAGTGCTACTTGTTCCGGGCCCGGGTGCAGACCAAGCCGTCCAGCTACGGCTCAGAGACCTACCCCAGCGACTGGTCGGAAGTGACCCGGTGGCAGAGGGGACGGAGGACAGGTGATACCTGTTATGGAGCTGGGTCGGGTCCACATTTGTGACCAAGGGGTTTGGGGTGGTGGATGGCCAGCAATGGCCATGAGGGATCTGAATTTCAAAGATGTGTTTGAAATACAGTTTTCACTTTGTCTACAGGCAGCCTTCCTCAATGAACTGATTCATTCTATCATCTATCTATCTATCTATCTATCTATCTATCTATCTATCTATCTAATCTATCTATCTATTCATCTGTCTGTCCATATGAATATGTCCTTCTGTCTGTCCATTCATATAGTCATACATGTATCTATCCACCTTCTAGCTATCCATCCATCTACCCATTCATTTTTCTATCCATCCATCCATCCATCCATCCATCCATCCATCCATCCATCCATTTGCCTATCTATCTTTCCATCTGAACATCCATCCATCTGTCCTTCTGTCTGTCTATCCATCTATCCCTCCCTCCCTCCCTCCCTCTAGCTATCCATCCATCTACCCATTTATCTATTGTCTCTCCATCCATCCATCCATCCATCCATTTGCCTATCTATCTGCCCATCTGAACATCCATCCATCTGTTCTTCTGTCTGTCTATCCATCTATGCATCCATCCATCCATCTATCTATCCCTCTAGCTGTCCATCCATCTACCCATTTATCTATTGTCTTTCCATCCATCCATCCATCCATCCATCCATTCACTCATCCATCCATCCATCCATCCATCCACCCACCCATCCATCATCCATCCATCCATCCATCCATCCATCCATCCATCCATCCATCCATCCATCCATCCATCTATGTGTCCATCTGAACATCCATCCAGCTGTCCTACTGTCTGTCCATCCATCTATCCACCCATGTATACATCCTTCTTTTCATCCCTCTAGCTATCCATCCACCTACCCATTTATCTTAGTCCATTCAAATTTCTATCCATCTGTCCATCCATCCATATACCCACTTATCTATTGTCTATCTATCTTATCTATCTATCTATCTATCTATCTATCTATCTATCTATCTATCTATCTATCATCCATCCATCCATTCATCCATTCCTGTAGTTATCCATCCATTTACTCATTTATCTATCCATTCATCTCTCCATCTCTCTAGCTATTCATCCATCTACCTATTTATCTATCTGCCTGCTCTTTTGTTCAATCATCTATCTATCTATCCACCCACCCACCCATCCATCAATTAATCTGTCTATCTATCTATCTATCTATCTATCTATCTATCTATCTATCTATCTATCTATCATCCACTTATCTTTCTCTCCTTCTCTCTCTCTCTCTCCCTCTTCAATTAATACAACAACAACCCAGATCCAAACCAATCTCACTACTCTCAAGTTGACCTCAAATCCTAGTGACCCAGAAGGAGAGAGCAGAACTTCCCCGTAGGGATCCGAGACCTTAACTCTTTTCAGGAGCAAACTGTCTCACCTTTCTCTCATGGACCAGGTGGTGCATTTGAACCACTGAACTATCATGGACACTTCATTTTTTATGGTCCACCCCAGTGAGGATGAGTATCATTTATACAAAGCCTGATGTGCTGGTCACTGTGTAGATGAGCTCCGGTCTTTAAAATAATGCTGTGAGATTGTCAGGTCAGCCAAGTTTGGTGACTCAAGGAATTATGAGCATGAATTATGAGCAACAGCAATCTTTTTTCCATATATCATGTTGCTGCTGGTTGATGTGGGGACAGGATTTTTGTTTTCTTGATGTTAAGATGCCATCTGTCTTCAAGACTGCCGTCCTTGATCTTCTGATTCCTGGTCCCTCCCTGTGATTCTCATCTCCACTCTTCTTCTTTCCTACCCTGATAAGATTTATCCCTGGAAAAAAATCATTACCCTTACGATCTTGTTTCGGTGGTTCTTTTAAGACCTTCACTCCTTTTTGGCGTGATTGATCATCTGATTGGCTTGCCATTCAAAGTGGCCATGGGATTCTTCATTATATCTGCTGTGTATACATCCGGAGGGGCACCGATACCTGGAGAAGGACTTCATTCCTGGAAACATAGCAGGTCCAGGAAGGGGAGGCCCTTCAATGAGATGGATGGACATAGCCATGTCCATGATGAACTCAAGTATGGGGAGAACCAATGACACAGGATAGGATGAGGTAGCCTTCTGTAACACAAGGGGTCCCTTTAAGGCCAAGATGGCTTCATAATAGCTAAGGACAGCAACAGTAGAGAATGGTCAAACACATATGGAAAAATACAAATATATCCACCTTGAAGAACGTAAGGCATGCGTGTTCCTTCGAAACAAGAATGGTGGAACTTTATCTCATATACTTTGGGCAAGGTATGAGGACGGGCCAGTTCTCTGAAGAAGGAGGTCTTGCTGGGAAAATTAGATGGTCAGTGGAAGAGAGCAAGACCCTCAAGAGATTGATTGATACAGTGGTTTCCAGGACAGGAGAGGTCATAAAGCAGAGTTGTGATTCTCTGGTTTCTGGCAGGTAATGCAACGGCACTTAATAATATGTATTTGGCTAAACATAGAGCTGTTGAGTGAATTCAGTGCCAATCTTTAGGGATAATCTTGGGGGCTTTCACAAATTGCTATCTCACCAAGAGCCCTTCTTTTAATGTCTCTTTCAAGTCCACTCTTAACTCTTCTGCTTCTATAAAGATTCACGGCCTCAGAGACCTCTGGGGCAGCTCTACTCTGGTCTCTAGGGCTGCTACGATTTAGAGCAGACAGTGGGTTTGATTTGTTGGTTTCTGTTTTCATTTTAGGGAACATTTAGAGCATTGTAACTTTTTTTTAAAAAAGGGTCCCTAGAAGTCAGCTTTCATCCCAGTAGCCCCTGAAAGCAACGTGAAGGGAAAACCCACTTTAACCTCTCTCAAGAGTCACAGGTGAAGCCCTGGTCGTGCGTTGTTTAAACGGTCACCTGCAGACATCAAGGTGGGTGGTTCAGGTCTATCAGTGTCTTTGAGGGGGAAAGATACTTGCAGGGGAGGCGTTGAATGGACTGAGTCAGTGTTCAAGTTACTTAGAAGTCTTTGGTCCTACAAGATGGAGCTACCTGGATCCATCGAGGTTTCCAAGACTGTATATTTTTACAGGACCCGACTGCCCTGTCTCTCTTTGGCAGCTAGTGGGTTTGCAAAGTGACCTTTTTAATTCACGACAGGGACTGGGGTGCAAGTTCACAAAGCCAGTTTATACCCTAGTTCCCAGTGTGAATGGCCATCTCCACAATGGACCAGCACTCCTCCCTCCCATTCCCTCCCTGGGAATCCCTTTCCCACTAGTCCTTCTGCCTTTCCTCTTTAAATCCTGGGCTTTATTGCGGGCCAAATGCCACTCTTCTGTTCTTCTGTGGCTGGCTATTCTAAGCAGTGACCTCCTCCCTGGCGTTAGTGGTCATCTTAGAGCCCTGTCTTTTCTCTGGATGAAAGTGGAGTCCTGGGATGTGAATGCGTGTGAGTTTCACTCCAGTTTTTTTTTTGTTGTTGTTTTTTTCTAAAAACAAATTTTATTTAAATAAGTTTAAATACATAACATTAAAACTGAAAAGGGTGGTGGGGGGAGAGCAAGTTGTTCCTTCACAGGGCATTGGGCCGCTGTTGCTATCAAGCTGCAAGCTCTACAGCTAGCTAGGACTGATGTCAGCTTGTTCCCTTGTCAAAAGTTTAACTCTGAAGTTTGCCTCACATCCTGGTGTTTTCTGGGACAGACAAGGCTTCAGGATTATGTCTGGTCAGAAAGA